CGAAATTATTCCTTAACCACCGTCTAGCAAATATGCCTGCGAAAATAATTATCTTAATCAAACCCCGTCAGATATTTTACAAATTTCATAGTGAAATTGTCGAAGTAAAGTAAATAAAGAATTCAAAGGACACAAAGCTTATATAGAACTGAAAATTACGTCGAAAGAAAGCCCAATTCAGTTTGCTTATGATACCATATAACCTTAAATGATAATTTATATACGACTTTTCGTACAAATGGTTTTATAAAAAATTTACAGGCAAATTTATAGATGGCTAACTAGATTGAAAGGATCTACTTTATGAAACATCTAGTTGGAATCTCAGAAGACTAATCTGGTGGAGAGCTAGACTGTGTAAGGATACAGTTGAAAAAATAGAGATTGGAATCGTTATTCGTTTAACCGTGATTAACCGTGATTAACCGTTTATTTATGTTATACGGTTAAACGAGTCAAGAGTTTTATAGACGATTAAATCGTTAAAAAATTTGCATATTTGATAGTAAACCATATATCTAATTGTACAGCAAATCTTCATGAATAAGTTTTCAAAAAATATTATTTAAAAAAATATATCTAAGAATAATTAATTTTTTTTAAAGATACTTTATTCTTCAGATTTTGATTTCATTTATTGACTCAAGATCGATAATATTTTCATACATGAATTAGGGTGTTCTCAAGCAAATCAATTATTAATTATTTATTATAATTTAGCCAATTAATTCATCGAAATGAAAATAAATGATGATCTCGACCATCTTTTTTTTTTTCATAGAGTTCGTTGATCGCTATCCAATCGCATTGAGGGAATTGCTCTTAAACGATTAAATAGATGATTAAACGATTAATCGTGTAATTTATAGTTAAACGACGCGATTAAACGGTTAACAAACTTTTCACGGTTCCAATCCTTATTGAAACATTGTGATTATTAAAATTAGGTGATGAAATAAAGTGATTAAGTCGTATGTTGGTTACGAAACCTATCTTTATGTAATAATAATTACTGATCAGTAATCATGTTACATTACATGTATGATTGGCCCAAATTTTATTTAACCTTATCACTAAAGTTAAATAATCATGTAAAATTGGTGGTTTTCGCCCATATCTGATATAACGTTATAAATGTATATCAAAAATTACATACAAGTCACTTTCTTTAAAGTGAAATGAAAATAAAGATCTTCACTATAGCTTATATCGAAGAGTAATAATAATGGCAATGAATTTAAAAAAAATTCAAGAATGAGTTGTGGAAATTTATTAAAAATTGTTTGAAACCCAATTTTAGACAGATAAAGAAAATGCCATGTAACTTATGGGCCAATTTTGTAATTAGTAATAACTTTTGATCTATTGGTCTATTTTGAATAATTTTATTACCAAATTGTTCCTCTTAATGAGATGACTTTAAAATCTTCACAAGATCTGATTTTATTATCGATTAACTGATATTTTAACTCAACGATAAAATCAATTATATTTGACCAATACGATTGTTTAAAAAGTGTTTGTGTAACCCATTTCATCGGGTTTTTCCAATAAAATAAGTTACACAAACACTTGAGAGGAGGCATTTTGGTAATAAAATTATTCAAAATAGACCAATAGATCAAAAGTTATTACTAATTACAAAAATTGGCCCATATCAGATATGATATATTTTAATCACCTAGCTCTACTCGAGTAACTATTGATTTTTTCTTCCAACGGCCTAATAGCATACAACTACGTATTAATAACTAATAAAAATTTTTATACAAAAATGTACTGGTGTGACATCTATTGAAATTCATATGACAGTTTTAAATGTTTTATTCAATAAATAAATTACATCATGTAACGCAAGCTAATAAGAATTCTCCGACTTCCCACGAAATTATAATCTTTTAAGGACTGTGTGATATGTAATACCTTTTATAGGTTATAACCTGATTTGACCTATTGACAGGAGGAATTATTTGTTTCACCATCGTGTATACTTTGCATAATTGTGTATTTTGAAAGACATCTTCGTTCGTGATCCGCATTCGGTATACATTAATTTCTTCTCAAAATGGAATTTAAAATATGTACGTACGGCATCAACCTCAGAAAAAAAAAATTTTTTAGTATATATAGATAAAACTACTTTTTTCGAAAGTTTTCTTTATTACTTTCTGAACTCTGTTATGTCACAATCAACAAATTTTTCGACACCCGCTGCTTCAGCGTCACTTGAACTTATTCGACCAACAACAAGTGGTTTAATTTCATCAGAGAATCAGTTTCTTAAACAAAAAAAAGTTTTTGAAAGATTTTCTTCGGTAGATATAAGTGGTCAAAAATATATGAATCAGGATGATTTTATTTCTGCTATAGCACCAGGTGAAGATTATAAAAAAATTCAAAAAGAACAATTTGGAATACTTTTTAGAATAGCTGATCAAAGTAAAAGAGGATTAATATCTTTTCAAGATTTTGTAATTTTTGAAAATTTAATTTCAAAACCGGATGCTGAATATGAAATCGCTTTTAGATTATTTGATGTTGAAGGCAAAGGAAAAATTAGTTTTGATCAATTTAAAAATATTTTATCTTCTAATATTACACCAGATAGTATACCTTTTGATTTTAATTGTGAATGGTTGAAATTATATGTTGGTAGAACTCCAGGGAAAGAACATGACCTGGCTTACGAAGAGTTCACACAATTATTAAAAGGATTACAATCAGAACGACTTAGGCAAGAATTTAAATTTTATGATAAAGAAGGTAGTGGATATATCACACCTGATAATTTTAAAAAAATTATTCTTTCTATAGCAAGGCATAAAATTTCCGATTATGTTATTGAGCACCTACCTACTTTATGTAATATTTATGCGGGTAACAAGATCAATTATTCAAGTGTCGTAGCTTTTCATAATATTGTGCGACAGATGGACATGGTAGAAAGAATTGTTATTAAAGCTATTTCGGGAAGTAGTGATGGAAAGATTACCAAGAATGATTTCCTTAACACCGCTGCAAAATCGACAAGGTTTTCATTATTTACACCATTAGAAGTCGATATTATTTTTCACTTTGCCGGGTTAGGAAATCCATCAGGAAGGTTATCAAGACGTGACTTTGCCCAACTTTTGGATCCTAAGTGGGAGCGACCCCCAGAGATTCGGTCAACTGTTAAAAAACCAACAAAGGAACATACTGGAATTGGATGGGAGATATTACATCAAGTTTATTCTTTTGCTCTAGGATCAATAGCTGGTGCTGTGGGTGCAACAGTTGTGTATCCTATTGACCTTGTCAAGACACGGATGCAAAATCAACGATCTAGGGTTGTAGGAGAATTGCTATATAGAAATAGTATAGATTGTTTTCAAAAAGTAATAAAAAATGAAGGAATATTGGGCCTTTACAGTGGACTTGGTCCTCAGTTAGTGGTAAGTCTTTAATATGAATGTAATAATTTTTATATTATAATTGATTACATGACTCTGTTTTGTGGTTTAGGGTGTAGCACCTGAAAAAGCTATAAAGTTGACTGTGAACGATTTCATGAGAGCCCGACTTAAGAATAAAAACACTGGTATTATTCCATTACACTATGAAATTCTTGCAGGTGGAATAGCTGGAGGTTGCCAAGTGGTAAGTTACTTGCGTCCTAAACGACCCAATGAAGTCATTTGAATTCGTAGAAAAATTAATTCATTAATATATTAGTTGAAATCTTATTTAGATCTTTACAAATCCATTAGAAATTGTAAAAATTCGTCTTCAAAT